AACTTCCTCCAGGATGCACAGTCTGGCACAGTGGGAGAGGGTGTCAGGTCATCCAGCCACAGTATCCCTCAAGAAATCCCCCAAACTAAACTCCAGCTCCAGCTGCTGCTTTCCAAGCAATAAGCCCCCCCCTGTACAAGCTGGATCAAACTGCTCTGGATTGCCCGAGAGGGGGTGTGTGCTGGGGCCAGACGGGTGTCCAGGGATCCAAAAGTGGGCGAAGGAAAGTGGTCAGCTAGGGAAACAGCAGGACCAACAGGTTGTGGGGGACCATCAGCCCCATACCCAACGCACTGCCACAGTGTGGAGGGTGCTCCACTGCCCAGGTCCCTCTGCAACATTCCAAGGGGTGTCCTGATCCTCTTTCCTCTTTCCCACACTTTCCCAGCAAAGTACTTTGATGAAAAACCCGAAGGTCATGGGTGAGCTGGTAGTCTCAACCCTCTCTTTGGTAAATCAGAATGGCTACAGAGATCCTGGGAATGCCTCCCCATGACCCTGATGCAGCAGGGGCAATGCCTTTCCACGCAGCCAAGAGATGCTGTTGCCCCAGGTTTTCAGCACCCTTCTGGAAGCCTGTCCAAATCCTGTGGGCCTCTGAGTGAAACCCACCGTTTCTGTTTAGCATTTGCTGTTCTTGGTGATGAAACAATGATGGATTATTTCACTGCAGCTACTAGCGTGCCAGACCTCTTTTTCCAAACACACAATAGGAATATTAATTTACTGCCCTGACAACGAACACTTTTATCCTCCTTATATAGTAACAACTCTGCACCAAAGGGCAAGTTCCATTTGTCACTGATACACTCCACCATCCCAGCTCATGGCCCCATGGTCAGCGGGTTATTCCTGGGTGCTCAGAGCTCCTCTGGTTTATTATTATCCTTTCCCAACAGATCTCACGCTTGCTGCCATCCAGCCACCCCACTGAGGGGCACGGCATCATCCAGGGCACTACAAGAGGGCTGGGGCAAATCTCCAAGGGGAAGAAGGGATGCAAAGCCAGGCCTGCTCCCTGGGCACCGAGAGCACAGGTTGCAGGACAGGGGTACAATGGGATGGTGAGGGGGCCCAGAGCACCAGAGAGAAGGAACTGTGCCTTCAAATCCGAAGGTGGTGAATCCAGAGCGGATAAAAGGAAGCATTTTTTTTCTCACTCTGTGCTTAATTAGACTGCCACAGGAAAGCGCTTGGGCCAAAATTTAGCAAGATTCAATGAGGGATTGGGCACTTACGGGGATAACAGAAATATCCAGCTATAATAGTGGATGCCAATACAAATTCTGGAAGGGATATTAAGCCTCACGCGTCAAGGTGTAAACTTATCCCAAACTCTCAAAAAGCAGGGAGCTTAATGTAGGGGCAGATGACCCACATATGCCACTATTACTGATGCAGCCTTGCTGCTGGCACTGCCCCACCCTGGCCGAGCCACAGCCTGGACTGTCCCCAGAGCCCCGTTTCCTGCTGCCGGCAGCACCTCTGACAAGGGCTGTGAATTTCTCTTGGCAATTCAGCCTTTTGCTTGTAGCTCCCCTAGGCCATGTGGCTCCCAGGGCTCTGACCTCCTCCATCTGCCCCATCCCTTCACTTTGCCAGCTGATAATAGCCTCATCACTTCTATCCAGAGGCAAGCCCTCTGGATAAGGGCCTATGCAGTCCATGGGCACATCCCTTGGTGGTGTGGAGTCTTCCCATGGCTCCTTGATTCCAGCCAAGTTTCTCATTTCTCTCTCAAGTCACTTGTTGCCCAAAAGCACATTTGTCTCCTGATTTCATCCCTCTTGTTCCCCGTTTCTGCTGTAGCTGGTCTCCAGACTCTGAAAGGGACTGCTCAGCTCTGCTATCTCGTGAGCGCTACACAGGTCCAGCTCCCTTTCATGAGCTCAGACGAGCCCTGGGTCTTTCTCCCCTGCCCTGCATCAACAGATGGCAATTGCCATCAGCAAATGGCAGTCACCATTTTGTCTGCTCTTGGCCAAAAAACCCTCAGCCCATGCGTGGCCACAAGCCTGGCACAGCTGCAGCGGAGGCTGGGGTGAGTGTGCCATGCTGTGGTACCCAGGGGATGGGTGCAAGCACCTCCATCCCCAGCGGGGAGGGTGCCATTGCATCCCACACTGGCTGTTAATGGGATGCCTGTGCTGCTCCAGCCCCTGCAAGTTGGGATGCTCCCAAAACCTTGGCCGCTGTGAAGGATCAGTGACGGTTCAGCGTGACCAGAGGAGAGCCTGGAGCTCTCCTGGTCAGGAGCCAGGGTCTCCTGTGCTTGCTGCTTACGTGCTCACCACGCTGTTGAGGGCAATCCCGCTGGGGACCCTTGGATCTCCACTCCCCGTGGAGCTTAGCACCCACAGGGGCTTCCAACTGGAGACATTTCTGGAGGGCATGAATCAGCTTTTCACAGCTTGTTAAAAATCTTGATCCTACCTCTTGTTTTCATGCCTTTCAAATCAGGAAATGAGTTTTACAACTTTTCCAGTGGGGCACAGCTGGTGGCCAGGGTCGTAAAGCTGAACTTTATAAATATCTCTTGTTGGGATTGGGGAAGAGCATTAAAAAGGCAGAGAGTGAGAGAGAGAGAAAGAAGGGAAGAGGCAAAGGCAATAGAGAAGCAAGGTGAACAAGCCCAGCTTAACATCAGCCATGGCCATGCAAGCTCAGAAGATGGGGTGTGCTTGGGGCAGGCTTTGCCTGCTTCTGTCCCTCCTCCTTCAGCTGCCAGGCTCCCAGGCCAAATGCTACTTCCAGGCTAAAGGTAAGTGAGATGGGAAGAGGCTGATGGGAAGAGGAGGCCTCAGCTTTTCCAGCATGGCAGGGCTCTTCTCTGTGCCTGCAAAGTGTGGAAGGGACTGTGCTGAGCTCAGGAGTGGGATCGTGGGCCAGTGGTGAGTGGAAGGAGCAGTCTATAAACCACACAACATCTCCCCAGGGCTCTGGCTGAGAAACAGCTAGCTGGGCCATGAATGCTCCTGGCAGGAGCCTGTCTGGGGTCAAGTGTGAAGGACTAGTAGCAAAGAGAGGAGGTCTCCCCATGTTCCCTCTGTTGATTCCTGGGGCTGCAGAGATGCTCAGACCCCAAGGGGTGCTGGATTTGCCCTCTGCATGGAAGCAAGAGCCACCTGCCTCTGCTCTAGGCCCACAGGTTAGTGGGGAGAGCTGCAGGGCATGGCCAGGAGAGTATGGGTACATCACTTTTGGCAGATGTCTGGGCATCCCATGCCTGCAGGGTGGTAGACAGATCACCAAATATTTTCTGCACCATCAGGTGGGTGGGAGGTCACGACAACCCCTGTCAGAGCACAGGGATGCCAAGGAGGCTCCCACTCACCCCCAGCACAGGCCCATGTGTCCTCATCACCACTGCTTCTTTTGCAGCCCCCTGTGAATACGAGGGGAAGCAGTTCTCCCTTGGGGAATCCTGGCTGAGCACCAACTGCCTGCTCTGCACCTGCCTGCACCCCATCGGCGTGGGCTGCTGTGAGACGTGAGTGAGGGTCTGAGGGGCATTGGGGTGGGCTGTCCCTGGCAGTGCTGCACACCACGGCACCCCTGTGCCCACAGCAGAGGGTCTAGCAGCTGCAAATGCAGCAGATGTCAGAGCCCACCGAGGGCTGTGGGGTACCAGGCTCTCGGGGACAAGGGACAGAGGCGGACAGAACCCCACCGGGGGGCTGAGGGTGGTGGGGTGAGCTGGGGAGGCAAAGTGGTGGGCAAGGATGTCTCAGCACAGCGAGATGCTCAGATGTGCCAGGAGCTGTGTCCCAGTCCGACTGGGTCTGGATAACACCCTGTCTGGGGGGCTGGCAGCAGAGGAAGCCACCTGACTCCTCGAGCAGCCCTCCGGCATAAACCAGTGGGAGCTGACAGCGCTGTGCCCTCTCCCGCAGCACCCAGCACCCCATCGACTTCCCCGACTGGTGTGAGGCCCACTATGACTCGCAGACCTGCCAGATCTCGGTGGTGCAGAAGGCCAACCCCAGCCTGCCCTGCGTGAAGAGCGTGGAGCATGAGTGGGGCTCGGCCGGCACCCCCGAACCGCTGATCAACAAGGTGCTGGGTGCGGGGCTGAGCCGATAAGAGGCTCGGCAGCGCCCGGCGCCCCCTCGGCGGCGTCCTCCCTCCTCCAGAGCACACCTCCCGCATGCTCCAGACCTGCCTCGTCCTGTAGAGACGTCACCGCCGCCACCTCCAAGGGAAACCACTATCCAGACACCACGGTACCGAGCTGACATTTATACCCTCCGGCTGCCACGGTATGGCTTTGCTTCTGCCTTCAGCCTCCTGAGCCAAACCAGGGCCATCCTTCCTGTGAGAGACCCTGCACCCGGTGGGAATGCAGATCCCATGGGATCTCCTCCCAGGTGGGCAGAAAACCTCATTATTAAAGAAGGGGATCCGGCACTAAATCAACCTCGCTCACTGCAATCCTGCACTCCCACATCCAGCCTCAAGTGAAGCAGCTCCCTGTTCCTTCCCAGATCCCTATCCCTGTGCGCAGAAGCTGCTGGGAGCTCACTGGGCAGTACCACAGCCCCTCGTGCAGGACCCTCACACCCTGGCCACCCCCTTCCCTGCTCCCGGAGTGTGAGGGGTACAACCCACCTCTGGAACCACTAATGCCCCTGCTCCTGCAGGTTCTGGGGTCTCTGGCACCGCAGGCCAGCCCTGGGCAACACCGCAACAGAGCCAGCCCTGGGTGGGCAGCAGTGCAGGGGGAACCACCAGGTGTCCTCACCCCCAGACATGCAGGGGGGCAGGGCAGGGAGGGCTCAGGAAGCAGAAGCCATCCACGTGTGCCAGCGTGGAGAGAGCCACCCTGGCAGCCCACCCCAGCCGGTGCCGTGCTGTGCTGTGCAGAGCCTTGTGTAGATGTTTCCGTTCTTGCAATAAAGATACTGAACAAAGAGGAGGTCTCTAGCCTCTGATTGCCACGCAAGGTGGGATGCGTCCACCACTGGAAACAATGTAGGAATAAGACTCTTGGGAAGGCCGAGTTTTGCACATTCAGATGTTTATTAGATTTCCATGCAAAGACAAAAGTTCATTGGAAGGTTTGGTAAAAATGGGGAGCTCGCTGTTGAGCAGGGGGATCTCTATCCCAGCTCCTGGATGTACAGCCTGCATTCCCTACAGCTCCCCAAGGATCCCGAGACCAGCAGGATGCCTTCACATCCAGGAATGCAGGCAGACAACAGCCCAGGGGCTCAGTGCTGCTCAGTTTTGGATCACCACTATTGTGCAGCCACAGCAGGGGCTGCACCCAGGTCACCAGCACCTGTTGGCAGCGCAGGGCTGGCGTGCCAGGACCTGCCTCCTCCAGGTGAGGACGGCACTGGGCTGTGCGTGTGGGACACCTCTCTGAGAGGTAGAACGTGTGACAGGACAGGGGAGTGGGCTCCCATCCAGCCCAGGTGGCCAGTGTGCCTCACCTGGATGCCAGACTTCTGCTTGTAAGGTCTCTCTGTAGGGGCATGGCTTTAACCCAAGGGTGGTACAAAGCCTCACGGGAAAACCTTCCCTCTCCCTTCTCAGGGCTGGGCCTTTCCCTCTGGGAAGCCCCACATGGGGTAAAGGCACGTCAGTGGTTCCCTGGGGGCCAGATTTTTTTTGGTGAGTGCTGGGACTCACACCTTCACCCAGGCAGGAAGGGTCCAGCTCTCAGCCGAGGGCTGAAGCACAGGACACTACAACAAGCACGTGATCCTCCACCCATGGATGGGACAGACTTGACCAGTGCCCACCCAGGTATCACAGCTGAAGTTAAGGGGACACAGGGATGCATGCCCCATGGCATGCTGGTGACAGTCCTGCCTGCCATTCCCACCGGTGGCACATGCCTGCAGCACTGCAGGCCCACCAGCTCTCCCTACTTCAGATGGTGATGGAGTTAGTGCTGGAGAACTGAGATACATAGGAAGCCAGGATGGGATTGGTGGGAAGAACTTTGATGGGCAAGTCCCAGCTGAAAGTGTCCACTTCCATCTGCTCTACCCCAGTCCAGGTGACAGCCTCTGACTGGCTCCCACGAACCAAGCAAGTCCCCGCTGACTCCCCAGAGGTCACAAACTCGAAGTGCAGCCTCCACTTCAGGGACACTGTGGGGAAAAGGAGAGTCAGGAGACAACACCAAAAGGGACATGGATAGCAGCTGCCTCAGCGCTGACTGTCCTGGCAAGGGAAAACGCAAATGATCCCACTCACACAGACCAGCTCCCTCCCATGGGACACAGCCCTGCGGTCCTGCTGCAGGGTCCCTTCCCTGGGGGGTACCTACCGATGTTGGTGGTGAAGCCCGGGGTCGAGCTGAGCGGGATGGGCAGGCTGAAGCTGCTCTGGGCTGTGTGCAGGCAGGACTCCTGATGGCGGGCGTGCGTGGTGAAGGAGACGGGCTGCCCCCGACGACGCTGGAACTCCTCCTGGATGCTCTCCTCCGTCTGCAGGCTCACCGAGAACTGCAGGACAGTCAGCAGGGTGCTTGTTCTCACCTCACACAGCCCTTGCGCAAAGCCCAGGGCCTCCACTTCCCAAACAAGCTCAGGACTGGATCATTCCCCACCTCACATTCCAAGGAGACCCCAACTGGGTCCCACTAGAAACGCTCAGTAGAAATCCCCCAGCAGCCCAGTGCCATCCCAGTCTCTTCTGACTCTCCCCCACCATAAACTCCTGCCTCTCCCCAGTGACCCAAGAGCCAGCACTGACCTGCAGACATGGGATGTCTCCTTCAGAGAAGTTGAAGGTCCCAATGACATCCTCTCCGATCTTATACACAGTCTTAAAGATGCAGAACGTTCCCACCTTCCCACGAGTGTTGCTGATGTTATACAGGTCTGTGGAGCAAAGAGAGGAGGATAAGAGTTGTGGCAGGATAGGGCTCTGCTCCGTGCACTGCTCTGAATTAATGACATGACCCCATGCCTGCTGCTTGGCTGTGAAGGGTAGTCACTGGAGGTAGTATTCCTTTTGGGAAATGCCTGCAGTTAGCAAGAGAAAAACCACACACTGCCTGCAATATTCTGGTCAGAGAGTCTCTCTGGCTGAAGCAGGAAGAGCCTGAGACTGGCTGGGGGCCCTGACCCAAGAAGGTCCTGATGGAGCTGCTCACAGCCCCGGCTGGAGCTTCACTTTGTCAGCAAGGGATTTTTGCAGCTGGCCCCTGAGATGTGCTCCATGCCCAGGCTAGGAAGGACAGCAGGCTCAAGCAGGGAATGTGACCTACGCAGGCTCCGTCGGGAGGTGGCCACCATGAGCAGTTCTGTAGCCAGGTCTGCCAGGCGAGAGTCTTTCTTCAAGCCCTCCTCCTCCTCCAGGAAGGGGTTTGAGGGTGCAACAGCCTCATCCTGTGGGAACTGGTAATCCTTGAGCCCTGGGGAGAAGGTGAGAGTGTCAGCAGGGCAGGATGCGGCCTGGCCTGTTGCGCAGGGAGGGCAGTGCGTAGGCTCACCGTGCAGCACGAGGACACGGAAGGGCACACGCAGGAGCTTGATGGGGGAGTTGACGCGCTGGCAGCCGATGGTCAGCTTGTACACGTACTTCACCGATTGTCCCCGGAAAGAGGGAGGGCCGTCCACAGGCAGCGTCTCACAGTACGAATCTGCAAGGGGTGCAGAGAAGTTCCTTTCCAAAGCCCAAAGGAAGCTCCTGGAGCTCCCTGCACTGAGGGCTGGGACCAGCAGCAGCGCTGAGCCAGGGACAGTGCCCAGTGCTTTCTGCTGCACAGCAGCCCAAGCAAATCCCCGGCTCCCCTGCACCAGGCACGCTGCTCCTCACGTCACACGCACCGTCATCCAGACACTGCTTCCAGCACATAAAACCACACACACAAACTCTGCCTCAAAAGTATGCGAGAGATGTAAAATTCAGGAACACAAACACATTAGAGCTAAACTCACTCGTCACGAGTTCAACCCAAATTTGCCTCTGTGCACTCCTTTGCCCGCTGCTCTCACAGCGCAGTCACACGCTGCAGTCTCCTCCAGGCTCTGCCCCACGCAGGTGCTGATCAATACCTCATGCCTGTTCTGGTATTTGCTTTACACAAACCCCAAACTCAGCAACAAAAGCTAGTCTCTTCCTGCATTTTTCCTTGAAGTGCCAGGTCTAAATGGTCAAGAAACAACTCTGAGACCTTCCCAACAACCTGTGGCATGTCCCTCTTGACAGACTGATGACTTAAATCACAAAGCCTCTGACTCTGAGGTCTCTGAGGTGCTGGGGCCCAGCTTACACCACACTCAGCCCTCTCAGAGCCCCTTGGCCACCACACAAACCCCAGTGTCTCTTGACGCAGTGCGAACACTTCTGCAGCTTTCCCAAACCACATGCTCTATTAACAAGAAAGGCACAAACAGTGAACTGTGGAAAGTCTCCACCTCTCTGGCTTGCCCACCGTAACGCAGATACACCCTGCCAGAGGAAGGGCAGCATCCTGCTCTGAAACCACAGCTCCTTCCCCAAGTCTGGCACATCCTGAATACTGGGGCTTAGATTAAAAGTTAGAGTTACACTTTAAATATAACTACTAGATTTAAAATAACAGGACTGGAAGGAAGCAAAAAGCCTGCACTAGTGCATAGTGTCCACAGGATGTCACACCTTAAAGTACAAGCCTGTCTTGCTTGACCAGGGTGCAGATAAAGCAGAAAACTGTCCTGAGAGGCAGGAAAATCAGGTATTTCCACAGAAGCAAACTGCTGTTCCAGACTTAACAGGACAGCTCACAAAGACCTTCTTGCCCAGTGAGGATAATCTGGGCAGAGACCACCACTGTCAAAGAAGGATGGGCAGTTTGCTACCTGGCACAGGAACACCAAGACTCAGGAAGTCCCAGCTTTCTTGCATATCTTAGAAGGAAGCACATTCCTGGCACAACGGATGCCTTCCTTACCCACCCGCTGTGCCCTCTGGCTGAGCTCTAGGGCCATGTCCAGGCTGCTTCCATTTCCTCCCCTCTCTGTGATCTACCAAATATTTAAAGGTATTACAAAACCAGAGAGGAGGCAGAAACAGCCACAGAAATGACTTGAGGACTTGAGAAAATGTTTCATGATGACAAATTTAAAGAGCTCAGCCTGCGCAGTGTCAAAGGGCTGGGAGATGAGTCAACTTCAACATATAGGAACCATAACAAGACTGAGATATTGGTGAATAAGTTGGTCAGCAACTGAAAACAAGGCCTTTTATCAAGAGACACCCTGACACAACCTCAGCTGTACATGCCAGCTCTGGTTGCAGTTTAATAACACAGTACATTGCTGAAGCAGAATTAAGATTTCTTGGGTTTTCTGTTGGTTTTTCCTTCCCTTTCCAAACTGCGTAGCAAAACTCAAAACTTCTGAAAAACAGGAAATGAAGAATTAAGATACACACCCACACGGTCTTAGCTCTCCCTCCACGGAGCTGGCAGGAGCCCCCAGGAATGACGTGCAGCCGTGCCAGCTGCACTCTCGCGTGAGAGTAGCAGCACCACTGGCTGATGGGATCAGTGTGAGCAGCCTGGCAGAGAATGAGACCAGGGCAGCAATACAGGGATTTTAGTGCTAAAAAGCCAATGTCACACACAGTGACGCCACACAGACAGGTGCCTCACATAACCAAGGGGAAAGGCTGTAACAAGGAACTTCAAAGCATAGAAGGGTTTGTGTCCTTCCTGAGGAGTTGCATCTAAGCGCCAGAAGATGTAGGCTGTTTGTGCCAGTGTCACCCAGAGGCAGAGAGGATGCACATCACAACATCAGAGGCAAGAACAGACAATCCCTAGCTTAGCTGGGGGCTGAACAGCTTCTGCCTGCAAAGCCAGAGCACAAGGAAATCCCCTCAATCCATCTCAGCCACCTGGAGCTTGGGCTCTCGTCACTGATCTGCTGTTCCAGAGACTGCCCAGCCTGCATGAGATGTTCCAGGAAAAGGAACATCCTCCTGTTCCCAGTGAATGGATGTTCCAGCCCCACACCTGCAAGCAGCGAGAAGCACAGGAGAATCCAGGTGAGGCTCAGGCCAGCTGAGGTTTCTGACTCCTCCTCCTCCCTGCTGGCATGGCCAGCTCCTCTCTCCAGTGTGGTGCTGTAGGATAGTAAGGGAATAACCAAACGTCCTCGGATGACAGGCTCTGCAGCTTACTGGCACAGCCCCAGACAGCACTGTGCCACCCTACTAACCAGCTAGCCAAGCCAGCCTGGTTTCACCCTGTGCACCTTTCCCTCCAGTCAGGCCCCTCCAAGGCGAGTGAGGCAGGAGGCACCAGCTCCAAAACTAGCGTGTCACAACCCTGTGGCTCCTTGGTCTCACTTGCAGCTCCACTCTCACCTCTGCAGAGCTCAGCAGAGCCCCCTCCACCACAGGCACTGCCTGCCCACTTCCTGTGCTCTGACATTTGAGAGGCCTCCATTAACCATTCCCAGCAGATCCCTGGGACAACCTGATGGAGCTCTCCACACACAGACTGCAAGGCCCAGCATCACTTCTGCTACATCACAGGCCACTGGAACGCAAAAGAGATCCAACACAACTTGACAGGTTGGGTCACACAGCCACCGACTGACAGACAACAGCACGCACTCATATTTCCACAGCTGTCTACTCGGACATGGAGAACTCTGAGAAGAGATCAGGAGTATTAATTTTTACAGCAGGAAAACTAGAACACACAGAAGACTGCGATCTCCAGGACAGCCACAACGTGAAAAGGAAGCACAAACCTTTGGAGGACACCAGCCTAAATTCCAAGAATACTCCCATATGGCTGAAGATAAAAAGAGTGGACACACAGGTGTGTGTCACCGTTCCTTCAGCTGCAACCAGGTATTTCAAACGTTTTATTCCTTGCAGTTACCCAAGGAATCTGCAGCAAAGGCCGCGGGCCAGGGGCAGGACTGATGGACACGCTGCAGGTGCAGCCATAAGGTAGTGGATAACACACTCTGGATGATGCAGCTCCTGAGCACTCATGCTCCCACCAAAGCATCTCGCCTTCCACAAGCACCAGTCTCACACTTGCAGCACTGGGGATGGCAAAGCCAGTTTTGAAAGCAGAGCTCCCTGGAGGTGAGCTCTGTGAGCAGGGGAAGAGAAGACAAAGACTCACAGGACTTTGACTCCCCAGGATCCAGTCGCAAGTCACAGAAGAGAATCTTTGGTGGGGTGGACAGGATACACTGACCCCGCTCTCCTGGAAGAGAAGAAACATGTGAATGCTGCCCAGACTTGGGCTTAGTCCAGGTCAGTCAAGCTTTATCCTAATGGGGAGGAATACGGAGAAGAGGACTGAGGGAACATCTCATGCCCTGGTCATATCATGAGACATTACCAGAACAGCTGGACAGACAACTGTGATGCTTCACTCCACTTTGATCTCAGTATAACAAGGTCCCACAACAGCCACCACCAGGGAATGACACAAGGAAAGCAACACGCACTTCTATGCACGCTGCCCTCATAACACACATTAGGGTCTGCTAGACTCCTGCTTGCTGTGCTCTCTCTGTCCCTATCTGGGGTGATAGGAGCAGCACTCACCTCTGTTGGGGACGAAGACGGTCTCGTTCTCTGCCTGCACATCGTGCTTGCTGCCATCCGAGGGAGGGAGCGCCACTCGGTTCTCGCTGGCATGGAACTGGCAGTGGATCTGGGCGCTGGCCCATGCCAGCATCTCACTGAAAGTAAAGAGCAACACTCGTGTCTACACTTTAAACCTGGATTACAACAAGCAGGAACTGGGAGGAGAGCAGCTCTTTCTGCTCAGCTCCACAAAGGACTGGTTGTCTGGAAAAAAGAAGACCTTGCTTCACTGTCACTGAAGCCACTCTCACAGCTTCCCTGCAAACAGGCTTTAGGAGCAAAGCTCAAGGTGTGGTGCTGACCCAAAGCCACTTCCATCCCAGCTGCTGACAGCGGTTTCTCACAAGGCCTGGCTCTGTGGCCAGTCTTAGCCACTACACCATGGGAACAGCACTGACACAGCACAATGAAACAACCCTGCCCCAAGAACCTGCTGTGCACACAAGGAAAAAGACAGCAAGCAGCATGGGTCAGCAGCCCCTGTTCCCTTCTGCGGGGCCAAGAGACAAGGCGTAGAACCTCACAGGGATCTTCCAGCAAACATGCTGAGGTCAAGTGTTCCAAGATCTGGTCTAAAGCCTTACTCATTTGTTCATCTTTCTCATCACCCAGAGCTCGGGACTGGCCACTCAATGCACTCTGGGATGACACCTCGAGGTGCTGCACACGGGCCTGGACTGGCAGAGGACTTTTAGCCACGACAACCTAAATCCCAAGCCAGAGGAGACACACAATGCAGCACTCCAGTAACAACATCAGGGAGGTGGGCAAATTCAAAAGCAACAAATACCTGCAACCTGGGTTCAGCTGCCCCTGCCCCCAACTCCCAGCCGCCCCAAGCTTGACAATCCTCAGGGCAGGCAGGGCAGACATGCTCCCTCTCTCCCCATAGCTCCATCCCCGTCAACAGCATCAGCTGGTTGTGTCAGACCAGAGCAGGATGCTTCTGGGTCTTTCACAAGGACCTATTTTCCCTTCCTGATGCAAGGGGGTTTGCTGACGGCTATGGGGGAGGCAAAGGTGTCATTTTGTCCCCTCTCTGACAGCCACAGGAATGAATGTAGGGCCACGCATCCAGGACTAAAAAAACAGTCTCATGTTTTGGACTCTGCTACGACCTCAGCCACTCCACAAGGTATTTCCCATGGCATTACTGAGACCTTTCAGTTTCCAAATCATGCATGCAGTTTTATTTCAATAGTTTTTATTTCTACAGTTTAGCCACAGTATGGTTCCTGTGGTGTTTTCTAACATCATGATCTGATTAGTAAGCACTGACACCAGCGCCTTAGGTGGCAGAGGGATTTTTTGTGGCACATGGGTGTCTCTTGGTGTGACACATCAGAGCAGTTATAGGTCTAGACAAACCAGGGGAAAAGGTGTGTCAGCTGACTAAGGATGCACTATTTGATCTTCTGTATGTGCTGGCTGCCTTTACCCAAACACACCTCAGTTACTCTACTTAGTTGCTTCTAATCCTACAGTTGTAACTTTGTATTTTCAAAAGTACCAGCATGGCTCTTCCATCAGTGCTGCCTTTTTTTTTTTTTTTTTTTTTTTTAAATTGTTGTAAACTATCTGCTGTATGGAAACAGAGAACTGCTCTTACTTGAGGCAATGTTACTAATTTGATATAAGCTTACAGTGCCTTCAAACACCGTATTTTGAATATTTTTTCTTTCTTTTTCAGTGTTGCCCAACAATATGCTATTGGATTGTTTTCATTTTTTCTAACCAGACATCCAACCAAAATTTGCATGTCCCTTCCTGCCAGCAGACCTGGTTTGTCCAGCTGGTGGGGCACAGAAGGATCCTGCA